TAAGCTGGGTGAAGGACTGGCTGATGGGTCAGGCCCAGAAGATACTTGTAAATGGGGTAATGTTGGGATGGCGAACTGTAGCTAGTAGGATTCCCCAGGGCTCCATTTTAGGACCAGTCCTCTTCATTCTTTTCATAAACAATTTGGATGAAGGACTTGAAGGTTTTTTGAGCAGGTTCATGGACAGTACCAAATTGGGTGGAGCTGTTGACGCCGTCGAGGGTGGTAAGGCTTTGCAGAGAGATTTCGACAAATTAGAGGGGTGGGCAATCACCAACAACATGAAATTTAACAAGAGCAAGTGCCGGATTCTGCATTTGAGAAGGGGCAACCCTGGTTATAAGTACACACTGGGGAACAAGATGCTGGAGAACAGCCCTACAGGGTGGGATCTGGGGTTTTGGTCAACAGCAAGCTGAACATGAGCCAGCACCATACCTTGGCGGCCAGAAAGGCCAACTGTACCCTGGGGTGTGCCAAGCACAGCATTGCTAGTCCGTCAAGAGAAGGAATTGTCCTGTGCTGTGCTGGTGTGGCCTCACCTCAAGTACTGTGTGCAGTTTTGGGTGCCACAGTACAAGATATAAATATAAGATATAAATACAAGATATAAATATAAAGATATAAAGCTGTTAAAGAGTGTCCAAAGAAGGGCGGGCTACAAAGATGGTGAAGGGTCTGGAGGACAAGGCATATGAGGAGTGGCTGAGGTGCCTTGGTTTGTTGAGCCCCAAGCAGAGCAGGCTGAGGGGAGGCCTCATGGCGGCCTGCAGCTCCCTCACGAGGGGAGCGGAGGGGCAGGTGCTGAGCTCTGCTCTCTGGGGACAGTGACAGGACCCGAGGGGACGGCATGGAGCTGGAACAGGGGAGGGTCAGGCTGGGGGTTAGGGAAAGGTTCTGCACCCAGAGGTGGTTGAGCACTGGGACAGGCTGCCCAGGGCAGTGGTCATGGCCCTGAGCCTGCTGGAGCTGAAGAAGTGTTTGAACAGTGCTCCCAGACACATAGTCTGACTTTTTTGGGTGGTCTTCTGGGGACCCAGGAGTTGGACTCGATCATCCTTGAGGGTCCCTTCCTACTCAGGATATTCTGTGATTCTAAGATACCTGTGGAATTGGGCACCATTAATAGTGTGTTTTAATGAGCCCTGAAACTTTCTTGGATATGCTTGCTATACTATCCAAGTATGTTAATACCTAAGGTTGTGATAGCAGCAAATATAAAGTAAAGGAGGGGTGATGATGACGGTGTTACTGAAAGAAGGATTCTGGAAATCAGGTTGGATCTTGCGTAGTTGTTTATATAAAATATTAGTTGTTTGTGTTTTTTTGTTCTGCAAGACCTGAGTTGGGAGTGGCTTGGGATCGTCTCCCAAAATACACATAAGCTTGTTTGAAGTAGAACATCATGGGCCACAGTGAACTAAGAGGAAAAACATTACGTGGTTGAACTTTTATCAGACTTTGTTATAAGTTACGCCTTAAATGATCATAAATGAAAGGCTATATGAGAATTCCTGCTGACTGTTCCCTGGTCAACTATGCATCCTCCAAGAGGAGGACTAAATGGTTTTGTTAAACTTCTGAAACTTTAGGCTTTATGATACGGAAAGGTATATGGTTGGATATTAGAGGTAGTCTTAATGATTGAGGTTCTGGAAACATCAGCGATTGAATTACTGACATTTTTTTAATGTACGACTTGCTCTGTAAGGGTTTTAAGTTGAAATTTGGAGAACAGTTGTGAGCTTTGTTGAACGACCTGCCTCCTTCAAAGCCTGAGTGGAAGAAGAAGTTTGTCCTTCCTATCCTCAAGACAGAAACAACTAGACATAAGTCATTTAACCTATGAAGATGACCTGTTAAGATGTCAGTTTCACAGTTTAGTTTTAAATAAACGCAATTTAAACATTCTTACTGTGCCTTCATTTCAGAATGCTTAAACTTCTCTACCAGACATTTGACTGCATTTTGTTCTCCATGTGCTGCCACCAAGACAAGGCTTATGATCTTCCTCTGTTTATGCATTCACTGTTTTTTGTCTCATTTTTTTTTTGGCATAAAAACCTTAACACCATGACTTGGTTGAAAGGCATCAAGTGGGATTGTGGAGACTTATGCCACAGGTTTTTTGGAAGTGGTGTTTGACAGCTCACTACTAGACAAGAGGTGAATTCTTGGCCTTGTCAGATGCTGTTGTGCTGGCAGTGTTGCTCCTGTGACGTTTGGTAATGTAGGTCGTTCAGGTTGCTGTCAGGTTTTTTAATGTTGTGTCTACCATTGCAAGACACTGGATATTTATTTAATACCGCTTTCCCTAGATCTGAAGAAGGGCCATGCCCCAAAAAGTCCTCAGCTGTATCACTTGGTCTTGTAGCTTTTGGTCTTGCTTATTTTAATTTTCATTACAGCATTCTTGAACCTGTCTTTGACTTCATTAAAACACTGCCTTTTGTGCATTGTTGTCCTCAAGTCACTGAATAAAGTTAATTACAAGTCAGTTGAGTTTGGAGCTACAGTGAAGAGGTTGTATGGGTCTGCTCATAAATGTACCTGTTACAGAAGGATGAAGACTAGGGGTAATTGCTGTCTTCAAAACAGTTTCACCCTGTGTTACAGCTGGTTAATGAACCCAACGTGGGCTTTATTTCCCGGTGACGTCCTGGAAGCCTTTTTACAACTGAGCAACGTGTACTTGTGTTTTCTGGGCCCTTTGCTTTACAGTTTACAGGCACTTCAATGGGTAAACCTGTTGGATAGAACAGTGCAGTTGTGCCTAATTGGAGGAACAAACGAGTTTATATAAGGTGATGGATTTTGCATCCAATCAAAGGTTTTGTGTTACCTGAGGACAACCTTTGATCCCCATAACCGAGCGGAGAATGCCTCAGGCAAACAGCAATAAACTTTGAAGCAGCTGCTCCTCAGGTAGTCAGACACAGGAGAAAGTTCCTGTAAAATGAATGGCACTTCTTGTAGAACATTGTAGGGGAGATTGGTTAAAGTGAACAGGAGTTGATTTTTTTTTTTTTTTTTTTTTGTGGTTTAGGGGCTATGCTACAGCTGACTTCACTGAGGTTACCCTAAAAAAAAAAAGTCAAACTCAATTTTTTTTTGAATTTCTCATGCAACAATTCTGACCCCAAATTATGCGAATGGAAGAGGAAAAGGTGTATTTGTGCATCTTTTCTTATGTTTTAAATACACATTATTCTTTGCTTGATAGCTTAGGCAAAGAATTTGCTCGCTTAAGCAGCCTTAACATTTGTGCTTATAAAATTTTAATTAAAAAGACATTATGTAAAAATGAATTTTTAATTTCCTATTTTCTTAGGCTTGAAGGATGTCAACACTGGCTTGACTCATCTCACATCGAAACATTAAAGTTAGATGGGTGTTTATCGTAGCCTGTAAGTGTTTATTTACACGTGGAAATTATTTATGCTGCTCTCACCCTTCAGTAAGAAATACATTACTAACCATTCCACCAGATTTTTTAAAATATACATGAAATAATGCTGCATTATTGTGGATTTTTCTCCATTGTGATGGCATTTAGTGATGTGAAAGTCTGGGGAATTGCTAATGTTATATTTGTGTTTCATGTAATGCTGTGAGTCTGAAAATTACATGCTTTCTTCTGAGGTGCGGTGATACATAAATTAGACACAACTCTTAGTTGTAAACATCTTTTTAGCATGCCTTTTTTTTTTTTTTGGTAAGCTGTTGTTCTAGCTGGGTGTTTAGCATCTGGAGGAGAAGCAGGTAGGACGAGGGAAACGTGTCCAGGCTATGCCATTTCTGGTAAATTAATTGGACCCTCTGTGGCTGCATAGCTCGCTTTCTGTTGTATGACTGGTTATTAGATAGATGAGAGAAAAAGCAGCCCAGATCCGAGCAGGCACTTAAGAGACTTGCTGACCCCTAACCAACTTCTTTTTCCTCTATCGCCTCGTCGAAGATGTGACCAATTATTTCTCGTTTACCTTTGAATTAATGAAAAGGGGTTTTCAGGAGTGTCTGTAAGGTCAACTGATCCACTCACGCATCCCTTCCACAGAACAAAAGTAATCCTTGCAGAATGAGTCCCCATTAAACAGCATCAAAGAGGGGGGGGTTCTCCCCCTAGAGGTACTTTCTGCTGTGTTTACCGCATAACCAGAGCCTTTCCCCACAAACAGAGGAAGGTTTTGTAAGGTTCTGGTGACCATTCTGGATAGCTTTGTGTCTCACTCCTTCTCCCCATCCAAACTGGAAGAGAGAAGCAGTGCAAACTGGTAAGCACGGGGAGCAGAATTCTCAGACTTGATTTTGCCTTAAAGCACGGAGCAGGAGGTGCAGGGTTGGGTCTTTTCTCCTCTTGGCTTTCCAGTTCACCTATCAAGCAGATTTCTGCTTTGTGGAAGCACTGGAGTTAGTGAAGGAACTTCACAAAGACATCTTGAGGATGACAATAGGGTTTTTGGTAAAGAGCCTCGAATCCAAAGAGGCAGAAGATTGGAATCGGTGCCTTAAGGAATAAGTAATTTTAAACTATTCTCAGATTTCACGGTGCTGCCTTTATATTTCTCTACAAGAAGCCTTCACAACAGTAAATGGAAGGAAGTGGGAGAGTAGGAGGGGGCCGGTCCACCCACAAGAAAATCTGCCGTGACTTTCATGCCTGCAAATTAATGCAACCCATGTGGGTTTAAAAAATGGCTAGTCTTTTTTTTTTTTTGTGGAACAATAAAAATAAAGTTAACTCAGTGGTCCTTCTAACATCTGGTGCCTTAACAGCATGAGCCAGGACACCGGAGTGTGAATCCTGCAGAGTATTCCCTCCTTGTCCTGGCCCAGGCTGAAGCTAGGAGGTGTCCATTGCTGTGTCGTATGAGCTGAAATCTCAAGCATCCTCAAAACAGAGCAAGAAATCGTAAATCAGGATCTGTTTAATGGAGGGAAGACAAACATTGAAGGCTGAATTCCCAGATCCAAATTTCTTGATTGAGAACTTTCCAGAAGAGAACTGATCTTACTGGGAGTTTGCTTTGCTCTTTTTTTTGGCCTTTTTTAAAAGATTGATGTGTTTAGGTACCAGGGCATCCCAGGAAGACCTCCAATACAGTCCTTGCAGAATTGAGCACACCCACAAATAATTACAGGAATTAAAGGAACTGTAAGGGGTGAGCTTGAGAGAGTGCAGATCAGTAAAAATTGCACTGCAGCTTCAGTCCTTGGAGAGCATTGCTGCTGAATTCTAGAAACAAACATGGAAAAGCAAATGAGTTAGGATGCAGAAGATTGTCACATGAGCAACTGAACATGTTTTAATTGTTAAAACAGTCGTGAGGCACGTTAGCTTTACAGGCTGTTCTGCAGTTCTCAGGAAAAAGCATTTACAGCTTAACAAAACAAAAGCCTCCATTTTTTATGAGGGCAAATTTGGTTTGGGAACTGTCATTTTTTTTAACTAGCAAAACGAATGCAATGAAGAAATGTTCTTTCCAGTCCTATCCCATAAAGTGGCTGAGACTGGGAATGGGCAAGTCCAAAAAAAAAAAAAATAATGATGGTATGATTCCTGTGCTCTAGGCTGCACCTTTTTATTTCATCTAACAAGCAGAAATTCTGCTCTCTTCTCACTGTTGGAAGGAGAGCCCTGGTGCTGGTATGCTCGACTGGCAGCTGAGATGTTGCAGCAGAGGAACCGAAAAAGAAGGTTTTTATTCTGCTATTGAACGTTGCCTTGAGACAGATCCATGAACTTCACCAAGTTTCTGAGGACTGAGTTTAGTTTGGTTTCTCTGGGCAAAGAAACTTCTTGATTGAGCTCCGTCCTGCTGCCCATCCCAGCAGTGCTCAGAGTTGGCAGCCAGTTTTGATCGAAATCTGATGAACAGAGATCTTAACTGATGGGAAAACAAAACTGCTCTTTAACCCTTTGTTCCAGGAGGCTTTGTTATTTTTGCAGCTGGCTTCTCTGGGAGGCAGGACCAGCCCTTCAGGCAAAATGAAAAAAAAAAAAAAAAAACAACACAAATGCTGCGATACAACTCAAAAGCTTCTGACTACTTTCCTTTGCCTTCAGAGATACTCAGAAGCCTGGAAACGAGGCTGGCATTGGGCAACTGAAGTCATTGTCACTGTGCAAAAATTAAGAAATAAAAATTATATTAAAATAATTAAAATGCTATTTCTTAGGCTCTCTAGGTTATTATTGGGGTTCTCCAAGGGTTTCTGGCTACAGTGTGTATTTTATGAGTGCCCCATCCTTCTACATGCTCTTAGTATGAACAGATACAGGTGTTTTTTTTAAACAGATGTGTGGTTTTTTTTAGTATTTTGTGTAATAGCTGTTAGCATCATTGCTTACACAGTGAGTACAACACAGGTACTATCAATATATGTTAGCACGTGCATCTAACACGAGAAGAACAAATGTTCTTGTTCAACAATCCTGGTTTCTGACAAATGGTCCTTACCTCAAATGTTTAATCTGATTGGCATTACTTAAAACAGGTGATTTTGTGTTAGTGGTACTCAAACACCTTCTTGATGTGCAGTATGTATAAAATGTTGCAAATACTTTTTGATTATTTTTTTTGTTTTACTTTGTGCCTCATCTTCTGCTTTGCATCGCCACCCAGAACAGAACAAAAAAATCCCACCAACAACCTAGGTTTGGAGTTTCTGACTTTATCCAGAACACAAAGTTTACTCTTTGGGCATTTTTGTACTGGAAAAGCTGGCAGTGGTGTGTGAAAGAGGAGAAAGAGCTTGTGTCTACTAGGTACTTTTTACAATAATTAACAGAAAAAGTGTAATTAAAAGAAAATAAACCCTAGCATCAAGGAAGCAATTGGCTTATTTTGACATATTTAGGGTATGAGATATCTATTTAGGGTATGAGATGTCTATTTAGGGTATGAGATACTCGGTTAAATTGTAAAACTGAGTACAGAAGCTCTCAGGCCGTGTAGTACTTTGCATTCACCTTGACTTTGTAGTGATTTTACAGCAGGGAAGTAACGTCCTTGCCGGGAAGGATCGTCTCATCAGCAAGGAGAGCTGTTAAGGAGCAGGCAGCATCTCTTGGCACTGGGATTGCTAGTCTGCACCCGTTTCACCTGAAAAGTGGAAAGACAAATGCAGGTCCACTCATTTTGCTATAATTTGCACTTATTAGTTGATATTTAAGAGTTTTCTTTTCATAAATAAAACTTAATTTAGGCCCTACTGCTTTTGCCTCTCAATTTACTTTTTTTAAGCTTTTTTTTCCTGCAAAACACCATCTTTCTATGGGACAAATCCGCGCCTGTTTTTACTATACTTTACACCCTAATGCACAGAGCAAACAAACTGGGTGAAAACCGGGAAAGCGCCTGCAGCTTTCAGTTTTGCAGCGGAGCGAAAGAAGGGTTCAGGGTCACGAGGTGGCGGAGCCGGACCTGGAAAATCTCCTTGCTGGGGCAGGCACCGCACCGGCACCTGCCCTCCTCTCCGTGCATCTTCTGTAGGACACGAATGTACTCGGTCGTGTTGCGACGGGTCCCCTGAGCACCATGTATTTCTTCAGCGTTGAAGGTAAATAGCACCCAGCCCGTTCTGGGAAGTGCCGGGCTGTCTGCGGAGCACTTGAGGGCTTTGAAAACTTTATCGGGAGGGGGGGAGGCAGCCAGGCACGTCTTCGGTTCCCTTTGGCTTTCTTCAGCCCCAGAAGGAGCTTTGTGCCTGAGCAGTGATGCAGAACATCTGATGGCCTGCTTGTGGCCTCACCCCGCTCTTTCTTTTTTTTTTTTTTTTTTCCAGTGAATATTTTTTCTCCTTTAAATATAGAAGAAAGCAACGCTTCTCCGAAGCAGCAGCTACTGTATTTATCGAGAGTTTTCGCATGCGCCGCCGTAGTTCTGCGTAGCCAGCGTATTAAGAAGTGAAGGTGGCAGTGAAATAATGAACAGTAATTAAATCTACGCTATAGATTAGTTTGTGCTGCTACAAGTAGGCAGATAGGTTAAGTCGAAGGCTGTTAGCTTCGGATTAATTCCCTTTTGGTTGCAGACTTGGCTAAGCCCTGTGCCTTACCGCTGCGAGCAGGGAAAGATTAACATGCAAGACGTGAAAAGGCCTGAATCGAAAATACGTGAAAGGAGCTGCCTGAGCCCTGTTCTGGTGGCTTTAGTGGGGATTTCAGCCAAAGCAGTTGTCCACGGTCTGTTTTGTGCCAAGGGTAAAATGGGTTTTTCCTTTATTTCCATATACACACGCCGCTCGAGCGTGTGTTTAGAAACACACACGTGTGCAGTGCTTATACTCTGGTTATATACTGAAATATATTCTGAATTGTATCCTGTGATTATATACTCTGAAAATCCTTTTCTAAGTAGTGTAGATGTTAAATCCTGCAAAGTTTAGATGAGCCAAAGGCTGGGTGCCTGTGGTGATCCTCACTTTTTGACTAGAGGGGTGTGCGTGTCCATATATTTATATATATATGCATAAATATATATTTATATGTGTGTATATATAATATTTATGTCTGTGTGTATATATATACACACAGATATATATAAAATACACACATACATACATATATACAAATACAAAATATATATATGCATATATACATATATACAAATATATAAGGAAGCCCTGCTTGTAGGGGGGTGGCAGCCGTGCTGCTGGCTCTGTAGTGACATGGGCTGTGGTAATTGCTGGCTTTTTGTGCTTTCTCTTATTTTTTAAGGCATCCAGACCCTCCCAGGGCTCTGCGAGCCAGGCTGCAGGTGCGCAGTGGGGCCGGCGATGCCGTGGGGCCGCCCGCTTGCCCCTCCAAATTTGTGGAGGTTCCTGTGCGCTTTTTGGGGTCGCCGTTTCTTTTTTTCATTTATTTTTTTTTCTTTTTTCCAGGACGGCTGCGTGCGAGCATCTGTAGAAAGGAGATAAAAGCGACGGGTGGAGAGGAGGGAAGAGGGGGGGGGGAAAGAAAACCGCGGGCGTGAATGCCGGCTGCGGGTGCCTCTGGGAGGATTTTCTCCCCCATTGAATTTGGCCGCATTGTTCGCCGCCCCAACCGCGGCACCGGGGGCTTGAGGAAGCCGCTGGAGGCCCCGTCAACGGGGAGCAGGGGGAGATGGGCTTTATGGACGCCGCGTTCCCTCCTCGCCTCCCCTCCTTCTGCCCGCCCTCCCTCCCGCCCTCCTTCACTCCCGGCCTCCGCTCGCCCTCCGCCACGGCTCACCCGGCCTTGGCTTCGCCCGGCGGAGGAGCGAGAGGATGAAGGCGGCCGAACGGGCTCAGGGAAGGTCGCCTGGTGGATCTCTCCTCACGCCAGGAGGAGAGGAGCTCTCCTTCCCAGCCCCGCCACAGGACCCCGGGCGGCCGCAGCACTGAGCGGGGTCACCCTGAGCCTGGCTCCATCCCCTCCGCCCCGGCTGCGTGGCGGTGGTGGCGGTGCTGGCGGCGGGGCCCCAAGCCAGCAGGTGCGAAGCTGCATGGAGAGAAGCGGCTGCAGCCCTTTCCCGATGTGCTGGGCGAAAGGTAGACTCATCTTCCCCTGATTTCACCCCCCTCCTCCCTTCCCTCCTTCATCTCATGTTTTACCAACCTGTGCGTCTGTAGCTTTGCGGCGCTTCGCTTTTAAGGTTTCTATGTTTTAAAACTGCTTTCCTGTGCCTTTTGGAAGAAGTTGTGTGTAGCATTTATGATGGGGAACTGATATCTCTTTGCTTCAGCTCTTACACACACAAAAAGAGAGGGTGTCTGGCCACAAAGCAGGCATCCTTTATAGCCAGGCGCTTTGACTTGAAATGGAGGCTTAACAATAATTAGGTGGAAACATGCAGCTCATTCCCGTGATTATCTGAACTTGCATTGCAAAACACTAATATTTACCCTGCACTGATGTTTGCGCTGGCGATGTGGGTGAAAGTATCCCTAGGAAGACACAGCGCGGGGATTAAGCTCAAAATGTTGTTAGTAGTCCAAGAATCCAATCTTCCTTAGATGGCAAGCGGCTGCGAAAGGTTAAGTGCTGCTGATTGTAAGCATAACTCTCCCCTTGTCCACTTTCATTTCAAAGCCACTTTCTTTTTTGGAAGAGAAACCGGCCGTGGGGTGTTGCGTCACCGCAATCTTGGATCGCCGACAGAGGCAGTTGCTTCAGGAGTTGAGGGGAGAGGTGGCTGAAGCAGGGAGGAAACGGTGCTGTAGGAGCTGGAACACGTAATAATTGATTAGGAGTGGTCTCGGGTAAAGTAACACCGAGTTTATTTACAGTTTGCTGCTGTCTGGAGGACACCCGATGCAGCTAACGCTGCCTTTGTCCTGCGTGCTTTCTGCGCCTTGCTGAAAAGTTCAGGCTAAACTTACTGCCCCTTGCCTTGTAGTGATAAATAGTGGCATATGTAGGAGAAATAACTTAAAGAAATTAAAGAAGTGGAACACCACTGCATCCTGGAAATGTCTAATGAAGTATAGGATCTGTCACCTCAGCAGAGAACAAAAGTTAATAAAGCGGTGAGCAACAGTAGCTGGAGGTAAAGCTGAGACCAAGCTGTGCTTTGCTTTCAGAAAAAAAAACACACACGCTTGTTTAGTGGGATTTACAGGTAATAGTGGTGTCTGTGCCTCTTTGAGATAAACTGGGTAACAGCACTGCTAGATGAAATCAGGATTCACCTCCTTGGGCTATCCTGGGAGTCAGAAGGAAGTCTCTTTCCTAGAGAGTAACTTGCAGAGTGTACAGATAGGGAAGAAAAAAGTTCTTTTAAAGGAAAAAAAAAAAGAACAGGTTGTTGCCATCTGGTGTTAAGGCTGTTTAGTCTCGGGGATATCAGTTTTCTTCCTCCTGCTCCAGCACCAGAGGATCAAGGCAGCAGGGAAGGCTGCCTGCACCCTTCTTGCAGGGGATGGCTGCGTTGGGCCATGCTAAAAGGTATTGATTTTCCCCCCACCCTCTGCAACAAGCAAAATGAAGGCAAAGGGATCCCTCCCTCTTGCCCTGGCTGCCCGAGGAGGGTTCTCAGGACTTAATTTGGGTGCTGATGGCTTATCCCAGCCGTCCCTGTGCCGTGTAATCTCTTCTTATTCCTCTTGGGGGGGGAGAGGGGACACGAGCGGTTACGTAAGGACAAAGGCACAGCATCTCCGAGTCTGCCAATTGTGGTGATTTCTGGAAAAAAAAACGACATACCATCCTCCCCCCCCAAAAAAATAGGGCAGATGAGCACTAGCTTGTGCTATATTTGTCATTGAATGGTGGCCATTCGCTAGTCGATGAATGCCCTGTGCACTGCTCGCCAGCTAAACCATAGGGAAATGAAACGGATCTGGCCTACTTTGATAAGGGTCGTGAGATATCTGCAGTCCAAGAAAGGTAATGTATTAATGAGAGAAACGGTTGGTTTGCCTGGCTTCACTCCGAGCCTTTTGCTAAGCTGTTAAAGTGCCGGTTTACCTGCAGCAAAACCTGATCAAACTTTTATCGAGTGTTTTGTAACGTCTTAAAGGTGTGATCGTGATGTGTGTCTTTGATTTCTATGGAAAACGTCTTTCTGAACGGTCCCTTCTCCCTTTGAATGTGACAGATGAAGCTTTTGGCATGCTGTGTGTGATCTCATAGCAAACATTTGTTCCTTGAAAATGCTTTGAAACGTTTCGGGAAGTCTGCGCTCGCTTGCTTTTGAGCATCAGTCTGAAACCTTCGGTCCTGCCGGTGCCGTGGGCCGACCTAATTGCTGTTAATTCTGTGTGCTCCCACTGTAGGGCTGCAAAAAGAATAAGATAAACGCTTATTTTCTTCATCAAGCATTTGTATAATCTCTGTTGCCAGGTTTTGCCTTCTCTTTACCCTAGCATCCATCCGAAGTGATGCTGCTGAATTTGCTACCATAGCCTGGTTCTGTATATTCCGGATTTGAGAATATTTTGCTTGGCAAATGAAGAGAAAGCGTGGATTTTGTTGACAGGCGTGCTTCTTCTCAGGGAGCAGCCCCTCTAACTTGACTTACTTCAGCAGCGATAGGAGGAAAACGTTTTTGGCTGCTTCTTTCCCCCCCGCTACCCTTCCCTCACTCAGCAATTTGAAACTTGAACTCTCTCAGCTGGTGAAATACGGAGCTTCAGGCTTGGCCACAGCCTCAGAGAGCACTGCAGTCGGTGTCTTGGTCGTGGCAAAGGCAGGCAGTAAGTTTCTTCGGGCTGAGCAAATCCGTGCTGGTGTCTGAGAGGGAAGTTTTCTTCCTGTAATGTGACCAGAGAGTACTTTAATTGCCTTAAATTTTACCAAATCCATTCTGTGGATCAGTAGTAATCTACTAAAGCTGTAATCTGAAGCTTGCAGATATCTAAAACTTATAAATAATCTGATTTATTGCATTTTGGTTTAGATGCTTTTGCTGGTAGCCTTTCTTCCCAACTTTTGCGTGGCGTGCCATTTGTAATATACCCAATAACCCGGTTGAAGGAAATGTGGTATTAACAGAAATAACAGCTAAGGGTGGTTGGATGGCTGGGCTGTATAGCTGTAAATTATCCACCCAAGGGAGGAGGAAGTTTCTTTAATAACCTTCCAAGTGAAGAGCTTGGTTTAATAATTTACGAGCAATAAATGGACGTGATGTTAAGTGTATCGCCCGTGAGTAGTCAGCGAGGGGCGATTGCAGTTACTGAATATTGCCTTTTAGACTGGAAAAGGTGTGCACTGTCTCCAGATAACTGCAATTCAGCCCAAGCCCTTGTGTTGATTTTGTTTTCGAGCCAGCTGTGTTGTGAAACTCACTCAGTCCACCAGGAAGGCGTTTTACCCTATTTATTGCAAGCTGTTTGTGTTGCAATCTTTCTAATGCGATAAGCGATGAGTAAAAGCCAGATTTCGGTACATGGGGGAAAAGTTCAGAGCTCCTTCTCCCTCATCCCCAGCTCCTCACTCTCTCCTGTTTTACCAGCAGGAAAATACCGGGGCGATAACTGGAGTCCTGCACACCCATGGCTTTTCAGTAATCCCCTAAACACGATGGTAGCAGTGGCATAGGAAAGTTGCTGATGTTGGAAAGGTAGGCAGGTAATTAGTCTGAGTTCTCTTTTTTTTTTTTCCCTTAATGTCTATACATAGCATAGAAATATAATAGCTATGGTGTATTAAGAAAAAAAACTCTGTTATCATGAGTTTTCTGTTGCATCTTTCTCGTGACCTGTGGTTCAGGTGGCTGGAGGGAGTGTTCAGCTCACTTTTGCACTTCTTTTAGACCTGGGGAAGAGTTCAGTCCGTCCTTTGGCAGCCTGTTGGCATCTTGGTACGTCAGCTGCATCAGCTGATGAGACCTGTTGGCCATTTATTTCCAAACATCAGTATTCTCTAAACTTTTTGTTAGTGACTTTTTAAGACACAAACTCTTTTTAAGTTCACAAACTCTTGAAGCACGTGTTAATTCCATTAATGTGTGTCTGCTTAGTTGCTGGAATCCTTTGCAGAGGAAAAAATTAATAATAATATCATTAATCTCATCAAGCCACTAATTCTTCAAAGGCAATGTAAGAAAAATTCCCAAAATGCTTTTTTATATTTAAGAGTGAAAATAGCCTGGAAAAGTGGGTGGTTTTGTTTTTCGGTTCAGCATTACCACACTGCACGTGGTAGAGCTGATGTTGCTCAAAATGTATAGGAAGTGTGAGAAGGGCTATGAGAAGTGATGCATTTCCATCGGGGTGGTTGTTTCTTATTCCAAGAGAAATGGGATAGAAGATGGGAGCTCGAGATACTTGGACAAGAAAGGCAAAGGATTGTTTTGAGTGCCTGGAGAGCATTTAGTGTTAGCAGTGTAATGGAGATGTGTGATCTTATCGCTTGTGGTACTTAGTGATGAGCCAGTGAACCAGAGTGGAATTAAATCCTCAGCTGCCACTGGAAAACCAAAAGTTAGGCAAGGAAAACAAAGTGATCTCACTGTCCTTTTGGAGATGCCTGAGATAAAGGCAGAAGAGCAAAGCCTGGAAGGCAGCATCTGAAAGAGGATGGCACGTTGATCGAAATACTCCCTTTTGCTGAATGTTCAGACAAGAGTTTGGGGTCTTAACAGATTTCTTATTCTGCTTATATTTGGCTTTTTTATCACAAGTCTCATAGGAAAAAAAAAGTGTGTGTATGTTCTTACATATATATTTTTTTCCTAATTTTCTTCACCTAGTTAGCCTGGCAATAGCCTGTTGAAGCGTTTAGAAATCAGCATCCTTAGGTGCTAATCCTTCAGTCCACTCAAGATGTTTCCTTACCTGTTTTTGTTGTGCTAACAAAAGCAATCCACTGCACAACTGATCTCCATGCACAGCTCCTTTTGGAAGGACTATTGTAATGAAATGAGCTTTTCTGACCGGCATTACATTTGCAGGGCATATATTAGCTTGCTTTAAATCCTTCCACTTGCTGAAGTGTGGCTTAAAGGGAAGAGGTGCAAATTCATGCCATGCAAAAATTTCAGTGTGCTAGCAGAGCCTGTAGTTTTCATCAGTTCTTAGTCCAAAAAAAAACTCTTTATTATCCTTAATTCATGACGTGGTATGGATTTGTTCACGATACTCTATTAAAAACTGGAGAGACATTAAATTAACAGGCGCTATCACATTATAGCAGGCAAGCCCGTACAAGCTGCTGGTTCCTATAAACTGGCACAGCAAAGACAAAAGAAAATGCCTTTGTGAATGTTGTATTAAAACCAGCTTAAGTACAGCAGATCATAAATGTAGTTGATTATAGTAGTTCTTTACTCCTTTTTTTTTATCTGATAACCAAGTTTTGTGTCATTGCCAGGAGAGGGATGGCTTTCCCCAGCACCACCACTGCTTTCCAAAAGGAGTGTTTTGCCTGGCAGGGATTTCAGAGCCGTAAAACTACAGGCTAGCCTTCTGGTTTTGCCTGGTTTTTGTTTGTTTGTTTAAATTGGACTCGTTCTGCGAATGATGTATAGTCCCTTGTTTCATGGAGGAAATTCCTAATGAAAATAATGGCTTTTCCGTGGTGTAAGACTCCTCTTTTTGGATTAAGCCCAGGAAGAAAATCAGCCCATGACCTTCAGTTTTGCCACTGCTCGGTACAGCTGTGCTCAGGGCAGCTGAAGCCACTTGGGGAGCAGCTTGCAGGGAAGAGGGCGGATGAAGAGCTTAATAAACTGAAGTGTGGCATTTTGAGGCAGAAAGCTGAATTTTGACTTGAATTTGACATGCTGTAGGACTAAAAGTCACTTGTCAGAGGAAATTGAGT